TCTCTCTCTCCCTCTATCTTCTCTCCCTCTCTCCCTCTCTGCCTCTCCCTCCCTGTCTCTCCCTCCCTCCCTCTCTCTATGGCTGCAAATGATCCTGTTGCCCTCTTGGTACTCGTTCTCGTCCCCTCCCTCTTTCTCTATTTCTGCTCTGCCACTATGCAATATTGCTCTCTCTTTCTCATTTTTGTCCTTTCTCAGTCTCTCGTGTCTTTGCTGCACTCCTGCTCTCTCACCATTTCTCTCGCTTCCAGTGCTTTTGGTCTTTTGTTCTCACACGCTCTGCCACTTTCTCTCTCACTCCCTTCCTCTCTCCTGCTCTCTTTCTCTTTTCTGCTTGCTCTCAAATAAGTCTTCTTGTCTCCTCCATTGTCCATCTTCGTTTCATTCCCGCGCTCCATGTGATCTTCTTCTGCTTCGCTCTCCTTCTCACCTGTCTGCTGTTTCTCTCACCTGCTCTCCTTCTCCCTTCCTCTCTCCCCCAACCCTGGTGTTTTTGAGCCCACGATTTCCTTCGACATTATTGCCTGTTGACAGAGATTGGGAGCATGGATTGCTTGCCCTGTGAGCTGAGCTGGGCCGAGCCCAGCCCAGCTTTGCCCGACCCAGGCTAGATTCTCAACTACTCTCTGCATCGAGCCTGTGCTGGCGCTCTCTACCTGTTCTTGTTATTGGCATCAAATGAACCAACCATGTTCAATCAGCACTAACCTCAAGATTCTGATAACTTTTTATTCATTCCCCCCCCTCCTTGTCGATGTTTGTTTTGTTTGTATGTGCACATGCTTGTCTGTTATGATTACATGTCTGTTTGTGTGTGTGTGTGTGTGTGTGTGTGTGTGTGTGTGTGTGTGTGTGTGTGTGTGTGTGTGTGTGTGTGTGTACACTGGGGGCTGTATTACCCCGGCATGACGCTTTGTCACCGGTGCGTGAGGTCTGTCATGAACACCTACCCCCATTGCTGTCCTTTTTTCTTGCATCTGCGTCTACGGGTTGAGTTGGCGGACATTTCCTGCTGCATGCATGTGAGCACCTTGCAGGGAAATATGATGATTTGGGTGGCAGATGCGGGGTGTATGTGTCCATCTATGTGCGTCTTGGCACCTTTCTGTTTGTGTGAGTGTGTCTTTGTGTGTATTTGGGGTGTTTGGTGAGGTGTTACCCAGGATCAAGCAGAGATAGGGAGTATTCTGCAGGTGTACTTCAACATGGGAGAGTTGAAGCAGACTGTTGACTTGCTCATTAACAGGTACAAACAGCAAGCAACAAAAGCAATTACGAGCGCGCTCGACATGAAGACCATCTGTAAGTCGCCGCTGCAAAAACTTTCACCAGAAATAATCAGAAAAGAAGGGGCAGGGAGCCGAAGGGCTAACATTAATGATCCAAACAATGAACAGCTAGACGATCATTGCTGAATCTGTTGATGTCCATGTGCAATACAAACTTATTTCGGAATAGAGATTGTAAGTACGAGAGTCTTATTCCCCCACCTTATGTATGTTAAGCTTTGAACGTTATTGTAAGTATCAGAGCCTTATGCCCGCACCTTATGTATGGTAAGTTTTGCCAGGCTGTTTTTCCGCGCTCCCGCGCACCCAACTTCTGCCCGGGTACACGCCCAGGTGCCCGTCCGGGCATGACCCCCGGGCATGGTTCCGGGCAGCCCCAGCGCAAAAAAAAATAATAATAAAAATCCGGAAAAAGAAAATGTTGTGTAGAATTGAAATACAAACGACTAGGGTCACATTATAATTCCTCACAGAATCGGAGATAAAAAAGAAAATAACAGAATGACACAAAGGCAACCCCCTGTAAACCCCTTTAGCCCCTTTGAAACCAATTTATACCCCCCACCCCCCACCTTGACAGCCAACTCGCAAAAAACGAAATGAGCCCGGATTTGGGGTCCTCTGGGATGGCTCAGGAAACCAATTTATTTATTTATTTTTTTGCACGCCCGGATGCCCGGCCAGGCAGGACCGGCCACACGTGAGAATCTTCCTAGAAGCTTTGTACATTATTGTAAGTACCAGAGCCTTATGCCCCCACCTTATGTATGGTAAGCTTTGTACATTATACTATAGGTGAAACTTTGTGCTCAAGTGCACGTACACAAGGCACTTCATGCCGTTCACGGTCATTAAAAATCCAAAAAAGAAATGGGAAAAATCGTTAAAAAATCCTGAAAAAGGTTATGAAAAAGGTTATGTGATGTCAAAGATTACTTCACGGAACATTTGGCTCCCACCCAACGGCTCCCGGCATAGTGTTTCCCATTTGGCGAATGTCAAATATAGACCAAATTGCCTCGTGCGTTTGAACGACACACCCACCCCTTCCTGAGTAGAGATACTACATGCGTCCCTATATGGACGGATATCAAGATATTAGATCGAGTTCGAATACTAAGCGCCTCATTGTATGGTTGCCTATCTCCAAAGCGTTCAATCTCGCGGTACAGATGGCTATGTCCAAAGGGTTCATGTGGCATACTGCGTAGCCACACGGGCCCTGCAGGGCCCGTCCCGGACATTCAGCCTAAAAGCCTAAAACTTAGGGCTTACAGGCCCCGTTCGTTTCAGCCTGGATGCTGAAAAACGAGGGCCTGCAGGCCCTACCTCGTTTCAGCCTATTTCTGGGTCTTTTCAGACCCAGAGTTTTCAGC